AAACATGTACAACTGTTTCCCTCCAAGCCATGCAAATGCTTTTCAAATACAACAACCTGTACCGTTTTATGCCAACACTATCCGATCTTCAAATGTTTTACCTGCTAGTTCTGATGATGAAGAAGTTGAAACACAGAAACCAAAGATTTGGTCACCAGCTTTTATGTGTCAGTCATTCACTTACTTCTTATAACTGATAAATAATGTATTTTTTAACTCATTAGATTTGTTACACTGGTCTGCTGGTTTTTGTGATATATACTAAAATAGACCTTACAGTCGTTCTATAGTTAGTGTGACAAATCTTGCTAGTATTCGTATAGAAAGACTACAAACATAACCACTGGACTGATGATTGACTATAATTTATAAAAAGGTTTTCATAAAGCACGCAAGAGGTATAGTTTTGTAAAGAATGCCGAAAATAGAAGATTGATGATTGAATCTAGCAAAAAATATAAAAGCACATTAAACATTGCTTACAAGAAATATCAGCAAAAGATTGCAGACGATCTTCGGAACCTTTCCAAAAGTGATAGCAAATCTTTTTGGAAGATTTTAAATAATTTTCGCAAATCAAAAACAGATAATATAAATGATATTTCTATTGAATCTTTGTATGAACATTTTAGGGAGTTAAACAAAAACGATGAGGCAGATGAAAATCCTGGAGATTTTGTTTTTGAACATGATATTATACCAGAAAATATTAATTTTATCCTTAATGGTATTATAAGCGAAGAAGAAATTAAACTCGCTATTAGTAATTTGAAGAATAATAAATCAAGTGGTGATGATGGTGTCTTGAGTGAATATATAAAGAGTACTGTTAACACTCTTATGCCTGTATGTGTAAAATTATTTAACTTGATTTTTGATACTGGAGTAATACCAGAAAAATGGGATGCTGGAATATTAGTGCCAATATTCAAAAACAAGGTTACAAGGTCGGACCCAAATTGTTACAGGGGTATTACCTTAAATTCTTGTTTCAGCAAATTATTTTCGTCTATCCTAAATAATAAACTTGGTAAACTATCAGATTGTATCTCCCTTATTTCAAGCTCACAGGCTGGTTTTCGTAAAGGACACTCAACTATTGATAACATATTTGTCTTGTACGCCTTAGTCATTATTTACTTTTCATTTGGCGGGAAACTTTATTGTACATTCGTTGATTTTAAGTCTGCTTTTGACACCATTTGGAGACTAGGGCTGTGGAATAAATTGCAAAAATCTGGTATCAGGGGTAAAATTCTAACTGTTATTTATAATATGTACCAAAATTTAAAGACACGAGTCAAACTTGGTAAAGAGTACTCGGACATATTCAACTGTGAGATTGGTGGGGTCATGTTTAATTACAATGGAACTTTTCCAACTGCTACAAAGAAATTACATGATAAAGCTCAGAAGGCACTTTATGCCTTATTCTATAAAATACAAAATATCAGTATACTTATCGATTTACAATTTAAACTTTTTGATTGTCTTGTTGTTCCAGTTTTGTTATATTCAGCTGAAGTGTGGGGTTTTGAAAATAAAAACTGTATAGAAAAAAATGCATCTTCAATTTTGCAAAAAAATACTGAAACTTAGAAACACCACACCTAACTACATGGTTTATGGTGAAAATGGGAGATATCCTTTAGAAATTGTAATAAAACAAAAAATGTTGTCTTTCTGGAATAATTTATTGATAAATGATCATGAATTATCAACAATTATGTATGAATTAATGTTTGAATTACATAAAACTAGTCCTAAAAAGTTCAAATGGATTTCGTACATTAAATCTACTTTGGACGATTGTGGATTGAGTTTTGTTTGGAGTAACCAGGTACATATGGATAAAAACCAGCTTAAATCAAATATAAGACAAAGACTAACCGATCAATTCATTCAGCATTGGGTATTGCAGATTCAAAATTCTTCAAGGGGAGAATTCTATTCTCTATTCAAAAATAAGTTTGAATTGGAAAAATATTTGATGAATCTCGAGGAACATGAAAGGGTATTCATTACTTAATTGAGATGTGCAAATATTAGATTTCCTATAGAAACTGAAAGATGGGCCGGGATACTTAAAGAGAATAGAACTTGTAACCTTTGCAAAAACGGAATCGGGAATGAATTTTATTATTGATTCCAATGTGTATTTCCACCATTTGTAAAACTTAGAAAAACATATGTACCTAGTTACTATAGTACAAATCCAAGTAAGATAAAAATGAAAAATATGTTATCTTTATGTCATGTTCGACTATACAAATACCTGTCATTGTTCCTGAAAAAAATCTCGAAGTATTTTTTAGAAAAAAAAACATGTATCAGATTGAATTTCAATATTGTTTTGAAGCATGATATCATATGTTCGATTTTACTATATTTTCTCTATATTTTGTCAGTCTTGCCTGCCATCATTTATGTATACAATGTTAGTTTATTGTCCTCTTGTACACTTAATGTGTCTGAGGTTAAATAAAGAATTTGAATTTGAATTGAATATTAGCCAATAAAATTCTGGTATTTTAACTTGAAGTATAATAACTTGTATTGATAGTCTGTATGGTATCCAATATCATGTTGGCAAACATTGATATTATTTGACTAATTCATTTGTCGTTTCTGAGCAGCTAATCACATTGTAAAGTCCTAAAAAAGCTACTTGTGAACTACAATTTTAATATATTTAAAGAAAAAAAAATGCCATGGTTTAGCTTATTATTGCAAATACTAGCGGTAACCTATAGTGGCTTACACCCATGCATTTGCAGTCTTGTGGCTAGGTGTCTCTTGTGTAATCATACCACATGTCCCTATATTTTCATATAAATATACAATAATGTATAAAATCGTCTAATTCTACAGCATTAGGTTAAGGTGAAAAAAACGCATCTTTAAATTATGAATATATGCGTAAGGTGTAATACCACCAAATCATAGTGCGTCACATCCGAAAGGTCGAAAAAATATTCCCTTGAGTTTGACAGTTGTAGAAAATTATCCATGCATTTTTCATTGCAGAAAAAAAATGTGAGCCGTAACATATATCGTGAGTGTCAGAGAGCACCATTCTTTTTTTTATTTGGTGTTTCTATTAAATATTTTTGGAAACTTGAGGTGACATGGTTACTAAAGCTTGTAAACAGGAAAAATAGGGGTTAAAATTTGATTGGTTAACTTCCGGTGATGGTTATTATCTTATAAGCAATAAAATGTTTTGTGAAATGATTACTGCAGTACTGGACAGGATAAAAATTTACACATGCCAAGTATTTTTTATTTGAAACAAAGATGAATTCTGCACATTTTTTTTTGAAAAGTCACAATTTAACAAAGATTAACAGGGGAAAACAATGGTGGTATTACTCCTAGATTGTTGGAAAATCTTTTAACTACTAGTGTGTTATATCGATTTTTGAAGATTGAAATTCAATTAAGTTTCAAGAACTATCAGAACCTGAAAACTGTTTACAACTGAATGACATGTATATCTGAAAAACATATCTGAATGAGAGCTAATGGAAATAAAATGATCTGCAATGGAATGCCATTCTCCAGTGCCATACGAACTGAAAACCAATGTCTAAATGAGAAACAGAAAAGATTAAAGTCATTTACTAAAACACTGATAGGAAATCTCTGCTAAGATTGATTATCAGTAGAGGAATGCATTGTAAGTGGGAAACGATTAGTCACACCATACCTATCAATCAAACAATGCTTCAAACATATTGGAAATGATTATCAACTTGTATTCAGAAAGGTTATATTGAGGAAGTATATCGCAAACTTGTCAACCCTTTAATTAATTTATAATATCTTATAGGACAATAATACAATTCTTACGATTAAAGTAGTCAAAGACCTGATAACAACATTTTGAAAGGACTTCGGTGAAACAACAAATTGATGCAAATTTATATTAGCTTTATTTCATGAAACTCTGTTTGCATTGAAAAAGATTTTAAGTAAAAGGTCAACAGCAACCCAACGATAAAAACATTTCATCTAGAGTTAAAAAGACTGTCATAGGCAAACTATAAACCGGCTAGAGTCTAGTGAAAAAAATATCATCAAAAGATCTGTAATCGTAAGCAAAATTAAAGATGTTTAACCCCGCCATATTCTTTATGTGCCTGTCCCAAGTCAGGAGCCTGTAGTTCAGTGGTTGTCGTTGGTTCATGTCTGTCATATTTGATTTTCGTAAATTGTTTTGTTATAAATTAGGCTGTTAATTTTCTCAATTTAATTGTTTCATATTTTTCATGTCGGGGCCTTTTATAGCCGACCATACGGTATGGGTTTTTCTCATTGTTGAAGGCCGTACGGTTGCCTATAATTGTTTACATCCACTTCATTTGAACTTTGGTGGATAGTTGTCTTATTGGCAATCATACCACATCTCCTTATTTTTATATTAAAGAACGTTAACTGGTATACTAAGTAACTAAGGAAACCACAGAGGTTCTTGACTTTGGCCTGGTACTGATACACATAAAACACGTTAATGATATACCTTTGTAAATTATATAAATACACACTACTTATAACTTAGAAAAAGAGAATGTTCAGCTTTTGGTAGAAAAAACGATCGTTGACACCTAATTGTTTTCAAAAAGAACGCAGGTGGAACTTGACATTCTGAGCATATCGTTCTGTCAGATTTGCTGCATCTGTTATTTTTTATAATCATTTATGGAAAAATGATTTCTGAGAGCTTAAATTTCAGGGCTGACATGAAAAAATTAAATTACTGGTTAAAGGGCAGCACAAAGATAAACTAATTAAGAACTGTAATTAACGTTTAAAAGAATAACAGATTTTCAGAATTAGAATAAGAACAGTATATACAAATACAACCAAACAACACATTTATTTCTCTACGCACAAAGCACATTACACATTAGTGAATTGCCTGAAGTCACAAGTGATTAACTGTCATAGTATGGTTAGGCTAAATAACTGATTTCCTTTATTATATAACTATGTTTTAGGTGAGCATTGAAATGGATGTAAATGGTAAAGGGAAATATTACATTCCAGAAGATGGTGCAGCACAGGTTAAATTTTCCAGGTATGTAAATATTTTCTTTTGTTTTCATCAGAGCTTTACAAAGATATGCCTGTCTGTCTTACTTGTATTCAGAGAATTGAGAACGCATTATCTAATAATTAAATTACATGTATGTTTCATTATAATACGTTATTTTGATTGGCTAACAGCAATCTGGCGTCATTCTGAAATTAACCTTCATTTTAAAATGAAATGAAACAAACATCCATGATGACACGAACTTCCACAAAAAAGTGCACAGGTAAATAAAAGAAAAACTTGATAGAAATCGTGTTTTCATGATCCTAGCAAAAAAATGTAATTATAGGTATTGAATGCTTCTTTTAGTAATTTTATAGGGTTGTAAAAGCGTATACCGTGCGGACATTTTACACCCCAATAAATTTACAAAAAGAAGCATTCAGTTCTTAAATGTTTGGCCAGTTTGCACGAGGTATGGCTTGAAGTATGATGAATGTATAGCTGGGTTAGATGGCGTTTCGGTCCGTGTAACACTTTTCAATTCAAAATTTCAAAAAGTTTTCAAATTTTAGTTTTTTTGATTTTTGATCAAAGTTTTAAAATATTAAAATTCCATTTTTTTTAAAAAAATTTCGAATTTTGAAAATTCCGCCAAATAATTAAAATTTCAAAATTATAAACTTCGTTTTAAATTTTAATAGTTTAGATATTTCAGCAAACTTTAAAAATTCTAAACTGAACGTACAGTTTTGATCATTTTGCTTTTTAAAAGTTTGAATTTTTTTATTTTTTGATTAAAATATAGGAAAGGGGAAAAAACTAAAAAGTGGATACCTGTTACAAGTACGAAACGGAATAAGAATGGAAGGAAACGAAATGAAATTTACCAAAAACAAATCAAAACGAAAACAGTATTTTCTGAAAAACTAAATATAATAAAAATTATAAAACAAGAGGCTAAATTGTAACCAATCGAATTGCTTATTACTGGGTTGGTAATAACATGAGCAACACGACGGGTGTCACATGTGGATCAGAATCTGCTTACCCTTCCGGATCACCTGAGATCACCCCCAATTTTTGGTGGGGGTTCGTGTTGCTCAGTCTTTAGTTTTCTATGTTGTGTGTTGTGTACTATTGTTTGTCTATTGGTCTTTTTCTTTTTTAGCCATGGCGTTGTCTGTTTATTTTCAACATATGAGTTTTAATGTCCCTCTGTTATCTTTCGCCCCTCTTCTGTTTGATCTACAGGGTGAAAAAGAGAAATATGTTTCTTTTAGGTCTAAAAAATAATTAGTAAGACCAGATTTCGACATACTTTGATTCTCTAACTAAATGAACAATATACAGAAATTACTTGTCGACTTTATAATTACTGCTATTTTTAAATTGCGAATAAAAGGAAACGGAATATTCGATTTTTGAAATAAGGGATAGTTCCGAATTTGTTATTTGCACTTTTGTAAATTATTGTGCGACAATCAACTTTGAGCAAAATATAAGTACGCAGCATGAAGAGAACCACCGACCTTCGGTAGGAAAACTGACAATCCTAGTCAATTAAGATTGAAGTCGAGTGCACCTGCCCTTTGAGGGATTCGAACTCACAACATCAGTGTTGACGGGCTAGTGTTAAGTAGTTCGACTACTTATACAACTCGCCCACCGAGTCCCCATAAAATAAAGAGATGTATGATTGCCAATAAGACAACTATTTACCAGAGACCAAATGAGGTAGATTACTGATCGACAGGTGACCGTTTGGCCTGAACAATGAACAAAACCCATACTACATAGCAAGCTATAAAAGAATTTGAAATAAAACAAATGTATAAAATTCACCGAGTTCACCAACGGCCTGATTTATGTACAAAACAACAAACGAAAAACAAATATGATATACAGCTACAAACGATAACCACTGAACTACATGCTCCTGATTTCGGACAGACACAGGGGCCGTCTTCAATTTGCAGTGAGGTGAGAGCTGTTTTGCTCCGTGTTGAAGGCCTCAGATTTGACTCTGACTTTGAGATGCAAGACAAAAAATAAAGCGCCGTTCCTTTGGTTTTTGTGTGTACTGGTTTTGTGTCATGAATTTATTTTTTCTAACTCTGTATCATGTGACAAACTTCCTCAACAATACACTACTTAATATTTTTTCTCTAATATCATTCATTTTTGTTTTGTTAACTTTAATTAACTCATTTGCACAAGATATGGATAGAAATATAAATTACTGCTGTTTACTTTGTGGAAATAATTTGAAAATCAATATTCAAAAATGTCTTTTTTTTCTTTTTTTTTTCTTTCTATTTTTTCACGACATAATTCTTAATTGGACTAACTCCACTCAGATATGAGAAGACTTCATCTAATACATACACCATCACGAGTAACGCCACTCAGATATGAGAAGACAATATCTAATACATACAGCATTACGAGTGACGTCACTCAGATATGAGAAGATTTCATCTAATACATACACCATCACGAGTAACGCAACTCAGATATGAGAAGACAACATCTAATACATACACAATCACATGTAACGCCACTCAGATACGAGAAGACAACATCTAATACATAATACTTGTATTGATATAAACAATTTAGTAGAATACCACGATTACTTTCAATCAAAAGGACATTTAGATCAATACAAGTCTAGTTGCATTAAAAAGTATACTTAACCTCACAAATAATTTATTAGTTATACAAACATTTCTTTTGCGTGTCATACCGCAATTCTCCAACGAAAGTGTCAGTAATTGTGTTGTTAGTACTACATGTTATTTTTATTGTCTGCGAACAAATGTCACAATAAACACTTTGAAGCGTTTCAGCTAGCATCCAAGTGTTACCAACAATTACTGTAACAGCCCTCACAAGCAGCTTTTAAACATGTATAATTACAATGGCATATGTATTTATCTTCAAATACTTGCTTTATCTACGGATAATCGGTCTTATATAGGAATACAATTTGTCAAAGAGTCTGATTATTATTTTTGATAACGTAGAGGTTTTCGGTCACGTAGATTATAAATTGTTTTCTTGTGAGGTACTTTGTGTTGATTGATGCTTTCAAGATATTTTAAAAATGGATGATTTGTATCGTACTTACTGTGAAATATTTTATTTATGTAAAAAAAGTGAATCTCGGATTTGAATTCATTGACCTTGTATGTTACATTTCAATGTATATGCGGTATGATGAGTAATGAACTTACTGGTTTAATTAAGCGTGAATTCCATGAAAGTTGGTATTCCATGAACGATAAATCTTAATGTTTTTTTAAGGATTTGTGGGAAGATAGTAAGAACAAGTAAATCAAATATAGAAAAAAAAATCGTTATGGGTTCCGCGGAACCCTGTGTCTCGCCTACGATTGCTGCTGTCAGTTTAAAAGTATAATGTTGACTTAAAAAGTGAGTCCATTTATCAGTAAAATATAGAATTTAAAAGAAAATTCAAACTTTTTCTTTAGATGCTATTTCTTGGTCTTGAAGATTAGCTTCTGTCCAAGTTTCATAACAATCCATGAAGGTGTACAATCTTATCATGTCAAAAAAAAAATGAATCCCAGACTTCTGTAAATGTTAACTTTAAAAAACTAAGTCCATCTATCAGAAAAATACTGAAAATGGAAATGTATTTTCAAAAGTTTGCTTCAGACATTATCTCTTAATCATAAAATTCTATGAAGGTTTGACTAAGTATTTGATGTGTAACAAACTTTAACCCCAGACTGAATCTGAATGTAAACTGTAAAAAAACTAAGTCCATTTATCAGTAAAATACGGAAAAATCAAAATATTTTTTTTTCAAAATTTTGCCCTGAATACTGTATTTTGGTCGTAAACAAGCTTCTGTTCAAATTTCATAACATTCGATGAAGGTTTGATAAAGTTGTTGATGTCTTGAAAAACTTTTACCACAGACTGAACCTGAATGTTGACGCCGCCGACATCGACGCCGGAATATAGGATCGCTTTGTTTCGCTTTTGCGACATAAATGTCGCAGGCTCGACCAAAATGATGTAATCGTTCAACACAGAAAAAAATAATCATAAAGGTCACATTTGTTCTTGAGCGATTAACCGGCAATTTCTTGAATTTCCTTTGAAAGTAGAAGCCATGCATTTATTCTACCATGAGAGGCTGTCATGTTCACATCTGATGTCAACATATAATTCAAATAATTGGAAAAAAATACAAAACTTTATAAGTTAACTTCGTGTAAGTTTGACTGACAGTTGTTTCAGTTGCGGATGTTTGATTCATATAGTATACACAGTGTTGCTATAGTTTTCATTATTTACAAATGTATGAAGTAAAATTAATCCGGTCAAACTCCAAATCAAAAGTAAAGGAAATTGAAATAAATCTGTCTGAAGTGGAACATTATGTTAAATCATGTCAGTTTTTCAATACCTGTATAGAACTGGGTCAAAACTGCTGCTGTTGAACTATTACTCTCCGAGGCTTACATCAGCTTAGTAGTTGAAAAACTTTGGTACTACATGATTTATAACATACCTTTCTTAAATTGTCTGTTTATAAATTTATGAACTATTTTGAAGCTAAGGTTCCAACTCCCTTAGACAAAGTTGACTGTAGATCGTTGGCTACTATTTTCATGCCTCTTTTGGTCATATAGATCTTCACGTGTTTCATTACAGATACATCCTTAGCTTCCAAATATATTTCTGGACGTTAAGCAACCAACAATCAATAAATCCAAATATTTGTATTTGATCGTTCCTAATATAAGTATATACAGAAAATGCTTCGAACGCATAACATTTATAAAGTTTTAAAGTACTGCTTGGGTCGATACCATTGCTTGTTGACTATCAGTACCCGAGGGTATCATCATGTGACAGTAGTCAGTGACACCACTGCTAGTTGACTATCAGTACCCGAGGGTATCATTAGCTGACAGTAATCAGTGATACCAGTGCTGGTGGACTATCAGTACCTAAGGGTATCATCAGGTGACATGTGCAGTAGTCAGTGATACCAGTGCTGG